GGAGTTTAACACGGGCCCACTCTCTGTGCTCACGCAGTCGGTCAAGAACAACACCCAGGTGCTCATCAACTGTCGCAACAACAAGAAGCTCCTGGGCCGTGTGAAAGCCTTTGACAGGTGAGCATCTGGGTCTTGGGAGGTATTCTGTTCAGGCCTGGAGAAGCAGTCCCAACTCCAGTCTGAGGAGCCTAAATACCAGGTTTTTCAGAAGCCAGGGGAATGAGCGTCTTAAAACCCGAGGTGTGGCTGTCTCTTGCTGCCCCTCCAGTTGTGCAGTACAGTGGTTATAGGCATATACTTACGAGCCAGTCCTCCTGGGTTCATATCTCAATTCTACTTCTTAGCAGTCATGTAACCTTTGGCAAGTGACTATGTCATCTGTACAGTGGCAGTAATCATGGTGGTTGTAAAGATTCAAGGGCTTAATACGTGTGAAATGTAGTATGTCACGAGAAGTACAGCATCTGGCACACAGTATTGCTGTTACCTAGTTAATATATAATATGGGTGTGCACCCATGCCAGGTACTGTTTTAGGTTCTGGACACAATGCAATGATTAAAACACACATGGGTCCTATACTCAGGGAGCTTATGCTGTATGTAGGGAAGCCGACAGCAAATAGTGTGTCAAAAAGACAAAAGATGATAAGTTCTATGAAGAATAGTAAAGCCAGGTAAGGGTATGAAGTACTGCGAAGGGGGTGCTTTCTTAGATGAGTAATCAGTGGCCTCATGGGAAGAGGCAGCAGTGAACAGACCTGAATAAAAGGAAGGAGTAAGCGAGGGTCTGAGTGTTTCAGTCAGAGGGAATGGTTAGGAGTTTTTCTGTCTGGGCTTCAGTTTCCTTATAATACCCCTCAGAAGAGTTGTGAAGACTAAATGATATTGTGTATTAAGAGCAGTGAGCTCCGGACCTAACACATGATGAATGCTCAATAAACACAGAAGCTACAGCCTTTAGTTAGCATCTGGGAAGTGCTTTCCTCACAGTAATGTGCTGAATCTTAATTCTGGAATGTTCTGGCCACTAGCTATTATGTGACCATGAACAGGCCTGTCCCTCTGAGCCTCAGTTTCCTCTTGAGTAAAATGAGAATAAGAGCAGCAGGGAATGCTGAGCACAAGGAGGCAGATCTGGATTTGAACACAGGCTCTGTCATTTCCAAAGTGCGTGATCTGAGGTGAGTCCCATCATCCCACTGTGTTTAGTTCCTGCTCTTGACGTGGGAGGCAACACTGGTGTTTACCTCCTGGGTGAGATGCAGTGAGGTTTGATGGTTTAATGCTTAGAAGAGAAGAGGCCTGTGCGCATGTTGGGTGCTCAGTAGGTGGTGGTGGTGGTGGTGTGTGTGTGTGTGTGTATTTATTTTAAATTAATTTTTTTTCCTGTTAAAATGACTCTTCTTTTTCCCTAGTTCCTCCTCTGCTCCCATATTAGCCTCCCACCCTCGTATGTATCCTGCCACGTTTGACTCACATACATACGTACATCTAGGGAATCCTTTGTGGTGGTAGCTAACAGCTCTATTGAGGTATAATTGACCTGTTGCAATATCATAAAATTGTTTTTAAAATAGAATCTTCCGTGTGCTCATAGTCATCTTGTTTTTCACACATATCAGTGGTCTGAGGACATTGTTGCAAGTCAGCAAGGCGTTCTGTTTTTTTTTTAAAGAAATTTTATTAGGGAACAGTGTTTTTTCCAGAATTTATCAGCTCCAAGTGCAATAGTTGTCTTCAATCTAGTTGTGGAGGGCGCAGCTCCTTGGCTCATGTGGGAATCAAACCGGCAACCTTGGTGTTATGAGCCTGCGCTCTAACCAACTGAGCTAACCGGCCTCCCCAGCAAGGCGTTCTTAACTACCTTATTTACTTAATTATGTTGTTTTCTTCAGTGAGTAGTGTATGCAGTTGAAGCAAAATTCAAAAGATATAAAGGGCGCCCAATGAAGAGCAAGTCTTTCCTCCCCACCCCACAATTGCCATCCCCAGGGACCCATCATGGCTAATTTCTCAGGTCTCCTGGAGTGTCACTTGATTATATCATACATAGTATAGATATAGGGGGATCCTTCTTTTGTTTAGTTGTAAATCACTGCTAATGACACAGCACACAGTTTTAGACCTTGGCTTTTTCTCTTAATATACCTCAGAAATGTTTCTGTATTGTTATGCTACTTTTTTTTTTTTTTTTACTTATTTTCTCTGAATTGGAAATATATTCACATAATTCCAAAAACAGTAATAACAGTCCAAAGAAAAGTTTCCATCCGGCTTGTTTCCAGTTTACCTAGGTCATTCCACTGCCACCATTTTTTTTCTAGTTTTTTCTTACCACCTGGTGATATTTCCATGTATCCTCCTATTCCCTTCACCTTGTTTTAGTTTTTCTTCATAGCAGTTACCACCACCTGACAGCATATTATAGGTCTCTGTTCACTTGCTTAGAGTCCTCCTCCCCTCACTAGAATGCACACTGCATGAGGGCAAGGATAGCATATTTTAATTCATTGCTGTAGTCATTGCATTTGTCGAGTGAGCAAATCTATATGTCATCACATGTGCCCAGTTGGCACCCTGAGGATGAGGACGAGGCAGGACTGCAGTAGAGGCTCATGAACTGCCTCGGGCCCCGGGGGCCTTTGGTTCTCCAAAGAAAAGCAGCTCCTTTGCCAATGCCTCCAGAAGTACTCAGAATTAGAAAGCACCATTGCATTGGCCTTCACTTTTTGCCAGGCCCTGTTCTAAGTACTTTACAGGAATGCTGTGTTGATTCATTTTTATCTTCACAGCAACTCTATTATGAG